GTTGAAAACGAAGATGAGCCATTTGATGCCTGGAATCGGTTTCATAATAACTTTTATCATCCAGATGGCCTTGTCTCACGCGAGAGCGGCTGCTTCCATAGCTGGTATGATCAGCAACATGGCCCTTGTATCAGCTATATTCGGTATGATCCGACAAAGTGTATTCGGGTCGGAAAATCCGAAGATCAAATATGTATACGATAATGATCAAACGGGTCCGGGGATTACTTGGCCACATCATCATAGATCATATTATCATCATGAGAAATAGTATTTTGATTTGCCTGCTCAAGTCTACTTATTTTTTATGTATACTATATTAAAAACCTATACTAAATGTATTTCGTTAAGAGCTTTATATAAGTCTCTGTCGTTACAGACTTTTTTTGAAGTCTGAAACAAATTATATATTGGGTTAGCTTTAATTTTTTTATATTAGTATTGTCATGGTTGCGTTTATGAGACAATGTAATTTCGAGATAATTACGTGATTTCTATACCTAACAATTCTTTGCATAAAAAATTGTATTGTTTCTTGAAAAGGAATTAGTCGAAAAGTTAGATATTAATAGTTTCTATAGATGCGTCCGTGACATTGTCTCTCGCGATATATCTTATTTACATTTTAGTAACATGGAATTCAAGTAGAGTATATTTTCAAAAGTTAGAATAGATAATATTTAGAATTTGAAGAAACGATATTTTTGTAGATGGTTATGGAAACAATCCCTCGCAATTTAATCATGAAACACGCGCCATTTCGCAGGTGATATTTATTTCATTGTCTTGGGGCTTTATGGTGGTGGGTGATATTTTTTCATATTTTCTTAAAGATTAAGACATAAGTACGGCATTAAAAAGTATATAATACAATCGTATCGCAGAAAAAAATATTGAATTGCTCTCTCTAGCGTAGGTTTTTTTTAAGACTGATATATTCTTAAATATATCTGATTAAAAATAAATAAATTGTATCTGTCTTGTATAATCGCTATTGTCCCTTCAAATTACAATTATCAATTAATTAATTTTAATGTTATTTTATTTTTTAATAGAACAAGCATTTTAATAAAATTATAAAGTATTGTTAAATTTATATTATAAATAATACAATTATTGAAATTATTTAAATTCTTGAAGTTTTAAAAATATATATGTAATTTGATTTGTAGAATTCGGTGTAGAAGTAAATATAATAAATTATATATTAATAATTGCGTGCGTTATAATATTATTCGAAAATACTGGTGCTGCAACTTTCAAGAACCTTGAGAAGTCAACAGTCAGGAATAGACCCGAGATTATTCTGGACTATCACGTTGAAGGTCTTCTCTCTCTCTCTCTCTCTCTCTCTCTCTCTCTCTCTCTCTCTCTCTCTCTCTCTCCGTGCATTTCCTCTTTCTTTTATTTATTTCATCAGTTTTACGCTTTGCATGCGGCAAAAGACGTACCGGGATGCAACAAGAGCACAAAAGAGATTGGAATTAAGATCATGATGCGACACGCAACCGTTAGAATGTTGAACTACTATGAAAGCAAAATAATATTACTTTAGAATTGTGTAAATATTATTTTCCGATATTCCTCGCGATGTACACAGAGATAAAACCATGAATTCTTGGCAGAAACTCTAAATAAAAAAGATAAGAATAGATCGGCAAAAATAACTGGATTCAAAAGTTGGACACACGCCTAGTACGGCACTGTCATAAATGACAGAGCCCGGTTCCTTCAATGTAACATTAATTTTAATCTCGTTTTAATTTACTCTTTATCTTTTTCTAATTCTAAGAAAAAATAAACAGCAAGCTAAAAAAAAGAAAAAAGTAAAATAAATTAATTCCAGCCAAACTTATTTAACGAATAGCAATTTGTTTTAACCGAATAAAAGTAAAATGCATAAAAAATACCTAGCGTAAGATAAGAATATTTTTAATCAATCACAAATGGCAAAATGGAAGGTACTATATCTTCTTGAGCTACTTTCGATTCTTCTTCCTCTGGAATTTCTTCTGTGATCGTCCTCGGTTCGATTTCCGCAGAATAAATCAATTCATTCAAGTAATACCTTCAGTAAGTAATTAATAATTATATTATAGAAATGCTTATGATACGATTAATTTAAATATCATAAAATGTGCATATATACCATTCGTGAGCGTGATGACAATCAATATTTTCCTCGTCCGTGCATATCCGCTGTTTCTGATCAAACACTGTATCGTTGGCGCAGATCACTGGGAATCCGTCGCCGGAATTTTCGCAAACGTGAAATATCCTGCAATTGTAATCTACATCGGCATAAAAACCGGATGGCATATCCGTGCAAGTAAAGCGAAAAGTTAGATTGGCGAAGATGTCGATATCACTTTGTTCACTTGATATCTCCTCATAGGTTTCCAAACGATTTCTATCCTATGTAAAACATAGTAATTTGAAATTTTTAACTTTAATCATAAAACACGGTGATATATTAAAATAATTTCAAAGCAATTAAAAAAATAAATTCTTACGAAATGGCCCAAAATAAATTGATTTGTCACTTTTGTATCTGTATAACAAAAAAGATATACATAAAACCTAACTTCTTTTAAAAAATAGAAAGTGTAGAAATCCTTAAAAAATCGAAATTTAATAGAGCTAATTTTAAAACTTACTCAACAATAATGAAAAGTTGAACACGTATATTATAAAATAATTCATGTTAATCGTAATTTTTAAAACGAAAATTTTTTAATTCTTGATGCCAAAATTACAGCTCAATACCAGCCAACAACACTATCACTCAATACTCGATGGATAACGCAACCGACTGCGCGACTACAAGCTCTTTGTCTGAAACTGCAGAACACGAAGAGCTCAATGATCTTAATAGCCATGTAATTTCTGAAAAGGCTCGTCATTCTCTCTCATTATTGTTTAAACGATACTAAATGATACTAACTATCGCATCCTGCTTTGCTAAACGACGTTTTCGAAGAATCAGGAGAATATTCTAAGAACAAAAAATCCGATTAATCTTTTCTATAAAGAAATTAAAAATACCTTAATAAATTTGTAAAAAAGAAAAAGTGATAAATACAAATTTATTACAAAGAAGTGTTTTTGTTAAAATTAAAATTTTCTATTATGAATGAAATAACGAGATAATTTACTTAAATTTTTTAATTCGAGATGTTTATTTAAATTAATCTGTGCACCAACAGATGTCGGCTTCATGCTATGAATTACGTGATTTGGTTGAGTACCAAGGTAACTACATGAAGAAACTTTCACTAGCATCAACCAAGGTGTACTCGATGGCTGACTTTCTTCTACATGAGAATTTGCCAGGATTGTATCGTTATGCTAAATTAAATATAACGTTATGCATTAAAATTACGCAGTAATATTTATTTATTCATTTGAGAATGTTTATAATTTGAGAAACTTAAAAATACAAACCAAAAGAATATAAAGAAATATTCATAACTTGACAACTTTTGATCAGTAACACCTTTATAATTTTTAACTATAGAGAAATATATATTCTTAAGAGAAATCTTAAAATTAATCAAGTTGAAACTTCTTTTTAATCATTCATTGAAACGACAGAAATTTTTTACATACTTTATTATTATAATTTTCTTTGATTATTAATTTAATGGAAAATTTTATCAGGTTGCTAATAGCAGCTTATCAGTCACGACCTTCGAAGATATGGAGCATTTTATCAAAATGTGATTGCGGCGAGACTCTCCTTCTTTCTCTCGCAACGGCAAAGGTGGGATGTCTACGAAAGGAGCATATCAACTGCCAATGAGGGAGGCCTTACTTCTGAAGCTGCCTTTCTCTTTGCCTTCGTACCTCGGCTCAGTTTTCACGGCAGCTTCAGCCAGGAACCACATGCAGAATGTCTTGAAGACAACGAAGGTGAATTCAAAACGTGTACTCCTTTCTGTTTTTCTTTCTCACTTTTTCTGCTCCTGCATGGTGAAAGAAAAAGGACAACCCGTTCGGCGGCAAACATGTAACCCTGAGGATACCAGCAGTGCATCCTTGAAAATAGTCACAACGACCTTCGCGCTTTTAAAAGTCGTTGGGCAAAGTGTAACAAGGTATACCGCGACTATTTTTGTGACAAACGATAAAATTATAGTCTGTTATCTTAAAATTGAAAAATGCTCGAAAATATTATTTTTAAAAATCTCGCGATTCACCGATTATTATATTAGAATAATCGCAGGTATGACATATTATAAGGAACAGTTTCTTAAACAGCTTATGCCAGTTATGTCAAATATGAGGCTATAGATTGAGATTGAAATTAACTAATTAGAAAAAAGAAAATCAATATCAAATTTAGTAAACTTTGCTTCAATTTGTTAAATTTAATCTCAATCTCTAATACGAGTATTAGGCTTGTTATATTTTTAAATACAAAGGTGCTAAGTTTCGTAATGTTCGCAGCTGAGTATCCACGTGTGTTTAGGCGCGTCATCTCTCCGTTCAGCGAACGGTGACTTCAATGCGTGCACGAAACGTTACGCTTCTATGTTACTTGAACTAATTATCTTTAATACTTAATTAACTCACGAAGCTTTGCACAGTTATTTCTATTTTGTTTAGTTGCGATAATATTGCTCTTTATAATTATTCTAACTTGATATATGTAAGTATTTAAATACAGTATAAGTAGAATTATTTTTTTTTTAAGAGTTCATTATTTAATATATAAGATTTTTATTTTTTCACATAAATTTAATCTTGAGATTCGGGAACTTTGTAATAGTTTTCTAAATAATGTTCTTTATAAATTACAAAATTTTATATAATGATTATTATATAAAATTTTGTAATTTATGAAGAACATTATTTACACAAGTATAAATTAAATTAAATTATATACATTCTTTATTTTATTTTAAAAAAATTTCCTGAATAATTATTATACATATAATACATTTTTTAAGAGAAAGGTGTAATGTTACAAATAAAAATCATATAGTAAACGAATGCAGCATAAGGTATTACACGATGCAGTATCCGCAAGAACGATTACTGAAACGAAAATATTCTCGTCTACTATGTTAAAGAAATGCACGGAAAAGTGTATCTCATTTCGACGAGGCAGTTTCTTTTATAACGAGATTTAATTTTAGTACTTAACTGTGAATATTAAGAGTTGGTAGTGATGCATTTTCTTTACGTAAAGCCGTCTACCTTTGCTACGTTAACACAATAGCTCTAATTGATAGACTTTCAGAAAGTGGAGCGTGGCGCAAGTTATTTTTCTCTCCACTGTCGTTCTTTCCGCTTTCGAGAAGCGGAAATCTCACGTTCGGGAAAGCATACTGTTTATTGATAGCTCTTCGAGTTTCTACATATTTTTAAGTCAGGACAAATATAAGCAAAAAGTAACAAGTAACCGTTCGAGTTTTGATCCAGATGCTCGAGATAGTTTAATAATAAATAATCGAGTATTGCCGATGCATTACGTCAATGGTACTAGGTTCGTTCATTTTTTTTAGATCTGATACGAGTTTGGTGTCACGAGAGACCAGCGTGATTCGGTCCAGTGGTTAGTTCCTTGGTTTACGAGATAGAAAGATCAACTGAAATAAGTGAAAGGCGCATGTGTTTTTCCCAACATATCGGTTTACTTATGAACGTTATCATTTCATCGATTTTAGATTTGTAGATTTTCTTGATGACAGCTTAATGTTCTTACTCTCATAAGAAAAACGCCTAGTTGGATTAATTGGAATTCTGATTAAAAGTGGACGAATCTATAAATTTTTTATTAAATCTAGTAGAATTCTAATTAAGATAAGCGGAATTCTGATTGATTTTTAATCAGAATCTTCTGGTTCGTTCATTTTCAACATTAGAAGACATTTTTCAGTGTATAAGTATAAATTTATTAATATATTTTTACTTGGCATACATCTTGCCTGAGATAGAAATAATGAATCTCCCTCATTCATAATGTAAATGCTGATGTTTTTCTTACATATCGTGCTTGTATATTATATAGCGAGCGCTATAAACTGATGCTTGAACTAGATCACCGTGCTTTTCTTCTTGCCTGTTTGAATTACTAGAGTGTAATAAGGCATAGTTTTCCATTTCTCAGATCGGTGAGTCCCACGATTATTTTAATTATAAGCTACTGTTAATTGCGGGAGCCTCGCTGCGACGTGGAGACGGTCTCGGTTGTTAGACGCTGAAATATATCGAAAGTGTAAATTGACAATTCAACTTTCATTGTTACCACACAATTATTAATTAATAATAGAATACACTGCAAATGTTTTTCATACAATAAAAAGAATATGCTTGGATTCAACCAGGAAAACGTAGAAAATAATGATTAACAATTGCATCAAAACTTAAATGATTATTAATGATGACAACTGTATTTTTTATGGCCTATTAATCTTTTCAAATCCACCCACTTCACACAAAGAGCACACGATGATCTTTGAAAAGGAGGTCAGTTATTATACAAAGATTATATTTGCTAATCGTCCAAGTTTCGAAAGAAGGATAATCAATTTGCAATAAACCACAGTGCAGCACCATTGCACGCAACCATTAATTTTCTATCGAAATTTCATGCATGGTTACGCAGGTGGGTTCATCGTTTTCGCGATAGTACGCAGTGAAAACGCATTGGTCTAATTGCGTTAACATTTCCGGTTGGACAAGTCGCCGCTTTCATAATTTTCTTTTGCAAGATGCGCAACACGGGGTAAATTGTGATTGACGTATGAGTTAAACGTCCCTGCGATAGCTTATAATTTGTTACGTGACAGAAAGCGCGATTGCCGTAGTTGCGTGCCTCCTTTCTAGAATCGCGTGGGAGATACTATCGTCGATACACGATCATTGCATTAATTGTGATTGAATAATGAATAGGCAAAGCATGATCCATGAGAGCATCATCCATGAGATCTTGATCTTTTGCGGCGTTTTTTGCTACACAGTGATCAGTGCGTAGGTCTCATTTTGCGTGGGTTGTGTTGACTGTCTGAAAAAAGTAGTCTCGTCTTCAAGGACGTTTTTGGGCTATCGTGATAATCTTAGCGGTTAGTCACCTCTGCGCCTCGGTATCGCTAAGAAATCGCAGGATATCTCAGTAACTCGCGTGGGATAATAAGCGGTGAGATCGGATCGCGAATTGAGCGACTGATGTAATCGCTTTTGCTTAAACACAGGCAACAGGAACTTCAAAGGGCCGTTTAACAATTCATTCGCGAAAGATTGCGCAGAACAATTGCGATTTTGAAGCAACTGCGATTTTATTAGGTGCATAAGCTGCATGGTTATCGGCGTATCGATCTATTTCGTACATTAACCAAGGGGGTTAACGTAGCGAAAACTTTCCCACATTTCTGACGAGATGTGCGTTGCATCACGGAGTGACTAATTGAAATGTTTATTTTATAAAAATATCACGAGTTTGCACCTTATTTATATAAATTAAATTATTATCAGCCTTTATATATGATATAAATATATAAATGTAACATAGATTTTTTTCAACATAATTTATTATATGTATTTATTAATGAGGTTATGTAAATTATACCATGTATAATTCTTATAACAGTACTTTTTCATGTAAAATTTATTGTTATATGTTTGAACTCATATCAGTTATTATGTAGTTATTACAAGGTGTAAACTTTGTAATTACATAATAACTGACATGAGTTCGAATGTATAACAATAAATTTACATGAAAACACGTAACATATATAATTACATTATATAATTACGGAAATGTTAAATCGATTTCTTTTTGTTTGTGCTTTTCAAAGCAGGTATTAAAATGTTATCTCCGCTATTGCTGTTGGGTACGGTTGTGTCCATAATGGGCGGCTACGTGCCGCCCGGGCCAAGATTCGGTTGCCCCAAAGACGCGATTTATATTTATCCCTGCACTTGTCTTCGGGGCAGTGACAGAGGTTTATACATCCGTTGTGAGAATACGAATCTGGCCAGTCTCAGCATTGCCTTCACGAATCTGGGAAACGAGGGCATGCCGATCGAGGAACTGGTTCTATATAAATGTAACATAGGTGAGTCGATTTAATATCATGTCGTAAAGAAAAAGAGATTTGGGTATAACATTTCTGCGAAAGATGAAGAAATAAGTCGGTTGAATGAACTATTTAATTTTTATTAATCGGCAGTACGATTCTACGGGCCCGCTCTGTATCCATTGGATGTGCGAGTGCTTAAGTTCATCGATACGCCATTGAGATTGATCGAAGAGCACAGTTTTCTTGGCGTGAACCGAACTCTTCAGGAGCTTTATGTAATAAACAGCAATTTGGAAAAATTTCCTCGTGAAGCACTGCAGATCCTCGGCAATCTTAGCCTGTTGAGCATCACGGGGCATCGGATATCTACCTTGCCGGGAAATAGTTTTGGTGAAAGCGCGGCGGCTGCGAAGCTAGAAAAATTGGAGATTAGTAACGGTAATCAGAATCTCATCGTGAGATATCGTCAGTAGGAAACGCACATTGTTTCATTATACAGATCTTGAAAGTGATACAATTGTATGAGCTCAATTTTTGATATTACGTATAATTTTTTATATAATATCTATACATAAATAAGAAAGGTCATAATTATAAAAAATATTAAATTATAATTCTTGATCGACTTTTATATTTTTTAGGTACACTTTCTTCCTTGCCTGTGGAAGCATTAACGCCACTCAAAAAACTTAAAACTCTTGATCTTCACGGCAACAAGATAAAAGACTTGAAGAGGAATCAATTCAAAGGTCTAAGAGACACCGAGTTCTTGGATATCTCTCACAATTTAATTGACAAGTTAGATCCGTCTCATTTGGCCGATCTTGTCAAGATGGGATGGTGCAACATATCGCATAATGCTATCGCTGATTTGAAAAGGTTGACAGACTTGAAGAAAATGGTACTTATGATGAAATTTTCCGCATTGTACCTAAGATCGTTTCTTTCGTTTTAGAGGAACCTTCGCTCGGAATTCTGTCTTGAAGGTCTTGAATTTGAGCCACAACAAAATCAGGAAACTTGATTCAAACACTTTCCGTGGCATGCGTTTTCTTAGACGGTTATATCTGAGTGACAATCAAATCGACGACGTGGGTCGTGGAACTTTCGGTTCTGTTACCAGAATCGGCACCGTCGATCTTTCCCGGAACTTCATTAAGAAAATCGACTTCCAAATGTTCAATCAGTTACAATTTGCTGAGGTATACGTACATCTGAAACAATTATACTTGTACAATTCCCACAAAATTTTTCTTTAACCTTCTAGGGACGGCATCATTTTATCATTAAAAAAACAATTCTTTTATTGATTTTGCTAAAAAAAGTTTTATAAGTGAAGAATCCATTTATTTGTATATAGTCTATGAATGTATATTCTTTCTGGCGGGTAGAAGTATTATATTTTAAAGTTCAATGCTACCTACATTTTCATTTTTAATATTTTTAAGTTTCATTAATCTGTAGAGATCTCGAATTTACCACAAATTTAATTTTAAAATAAATGTTACAAATATGCAACACTTGAAAAGATTAATAGCAAATTTGTCGTGATAGCTTATAGATGTTTCCGAGAATTTCGTGACTATCGTGGAGAAATTGGCGTTCAAAGATATCTATTTGGCAAAAGTGAATCTGTCTCATAATGAAATTTCGAAGATCGAATCAGGCGCTTTCGAGAATTGTGCGAATATTACATTATTGGATATCAGTCACAACAAGCTCGAGAATATCTCAAAGTACTCTTTCGATAGTGCATCGTATGCTATGGAATTACAACTTAGTTATAATCTATTAACGTCTCTAAATCAGGTGAGTAAAATTTTTTGATGCAAAATGATAAAATAGTTCACATTATTTCATTAAAAAAAAGATATTTATTTTTATTAAGTCTAAACACCATTAACATTCTTTTTTTGTAGATTCCAATGCACAACATGACGGGGCTGAAAATCTTAAATGTTTCCCACAATCTGATACATTCCGTTCCACGACAGACTTTTCCAAAGCTGTACGAGCTCCATTACTCTTGAACATGTCGCATAATTCTCTAGAGAAAATAAAACCATCGACGTTCGGACCGCTGCCGACACTTCTAGAACTCGATATGAGTTACAATCAATTAAATGACGTTGCACGAGGTAGTCTCACTCGATTAGCCAGTTGCAGGTGAGTCACTGCTGCTTAATAAAAATTGAAAAATGTTATGCTCGCAATGACGTATCTATTGTATTTTAGGAGTTTAACGGTAAAAAATAATCGTTTGACAAAGATTTTCCAATTGCCAATTTCTCTGGGTCATTTGGACTTCTCGGAGAATCTGCTGGAAGAGATTCCGAGCATCGACGTGTGGCCTACGATGAATGCATTACTCTCGCTGGATCTTTCGCGGAATCGGCTGGGCGATAACCTGCAAGAGGGGAGCTTCGAAAACCTGCTAACCTTGAGAATCTTAAACCTGCAAGCGAATAACATTACAAAGCCGCCTTGGCAAGCACTCGGCGGTCTGAGCAGTCTGCAGTATCTTTATCTACAGGTAAGACAAGCTAAATTTTTATAGGGGAATTCGTTCTTCTTCGAGGATCAGTAAAATTTTCTGAATTTTTACTGATGGATATATTTCAGGATAATTACTTGACGAAATTGGAAAAAGCCGCCTTCGGCCGTCTACCGATAGTATTTGAGCTGAACTTGGCGAACAATAAAATAAATAACATAACGAGCCGGGCATTCGAGGGCCTGTTGCAGCTGCTAACGTTGAACTTGACGAACAACAATATCAGCTACATACCAAACGGCGCGTTTCAGGGTCTAGTATCTTTACGAACACTCGACCTATCGTATAATAAATTGGAGAAGCTGGACAACAAGACGCATGGACTGCTCGACGATTGTCTATCTCTGGAGAGACTGAACCTTAGCCATAACGAGATATCATTTATTACTCGAAAGACCCTTCCAAACGATCCCTGGATCCCTTATAGGCTAAAGGAAGTCGATTTATCCTACAATACAATGCCGGTCATTACCTTCGATTTCATCGCCGGTGCTAAAAAGATTCAGTATTTGAATCTTTCTCATAACAACATTAATGAGATCAGGAGATGTGAGTAGTAAATCAGAAATGTTGTTTTTAATAGTTTCGACGACTAATCGGGTTGCTGCATAACAGCTTATCGGCTTATGTTTCTTACTGAAAATCGTTGTTTATTGGAACGTTGCCTTATTTCAGATGTAATCGGGAATTTAACGGCTTTGCAGACGTTGGATTTATCGTACAATGACATAAATGACATCTCCGAGCAAGATGTCTTTCTTCCGCCGTTAAATTTGACCAACTTGCATCTGAGTAATAACCATCTAAGCCATGTGCCTCTCGACAAGATTCTACAGCTGCCGAATCTAAAAGTTTTCGATCTGGAAGAAAACGAGATAGGTGTTTTTGATGAGAAGTTCATGAAGATTATTCAGAACGGCACGGTGTTCAAATACTCCGGTAACAATAGATTAAATAATTAGATATAACAAAGAATAATAAAACTCATAATTAAGCTACTAAAGGACTTTAAAAACTGTGTTAATAATCAAGTTTTTTGTTATCAATATTTAAAATATATTTATATTAGGTAATCCCATGCATTGTGATTGTCATATGCGACCATTGAAGAGATGGCTAAAATCTCAAACGCAATTTCCAACAGAATGGTCGAACGTGATGTGTAAAAGTCCGAATTATCTCGCAAATAAATATATCTCGGAAGTAACCGAGGATCTTACGAACTGCGGCGAGAGGGATATTCAAGAGGAGCCCGAACTTGATATCACACCTGATGTGAAGTATCGAAGCATTGATTAGTATGTAATATATTTCATTGTTAATTTCTATTATCATAAATATATCGTTTGAAATTTTCTCGAGGACTTCGGAGATGAAAAATTACAATTTTCTTTAGCAATACCGAGGATAAGAGTTGGAAAGCGACGTGGTACGTAACGTCGCGCGAAGATATTGGCGATTTCTACGTGGTGATTCGGGAATCCGGTAGCAGCAAATCCATGCTCGAAAAGGATGTCGTTTACAGCGAGAGATCCTTCAAAATCAACGATCTGAAGAGATCGAACACCAAATACGAGCTCTGCGTGCTCGCGCGCGACTCCGAAGGGAACGTCAAGCACTATAGAAATTCGCAGTGTCAGATTTTAAATCAGCACTCCAGCTCGACCGATAGTCTCAGGGCGAGCCTGTACTTCGTGATAGTCGCTGCTTCCTTTTGCACTCTTATGAGATTTCGTTAACCTGACGAAATTAGTATTCGTAGTACTTAGAAAAATATCTTACATTTCGTGGAGATAGTAAGATAAAAACAGGAAGTTATTATCTTTAAGTATCGCTGGTTAAATTTCCGATTGTTCTGCTATTTTAGATTTTTATCTATGTCGCGTTGAAGCGCGATAAGCGATGTGATTTTGTACAATAAATTAATATGTATATTCCTCGAAAAGGTGCCCAGTAAACAAGCTGACGTTATTTATCGTTATTTTAATGTCAAAATGATATCTCGAAATGATGTCAAAATGACGACAAGAATTTCAACTTGTTTGCTGGGTGATATACTGTGTGCGTTGTACATAGAATATATTGTATTTTGCTCGGAAGTAGGGACGTTGAACGTCGTGTATTTATTTTTGTAAAATATATACCTTTTACAAGTCACATATATTGTTATCATTTAACACGAATGGATTAACCAAAGTCTGTTTTTTTTCAAAGAATATTCTGAACTGGTGTAATAAATTGAGTGAAACAAACTATATTTATTTCATTCCAACTTACTGTATCAAATAATGTACACCAGTCTAAAACATTCTTTGAAAAAGAGCAGATCTCAAGATTCGGCATGAAAAAGCGACACGTCTAACGGCTGTGACAGATCCTTGCGATAATTTGCAATTGTTACGTGAACGAGAGGGACGATTATTTGACGATAAGCGAGCGAATCCTTTTAATCAAGACCAACTAATCCCACGATATTAATTTGCCGTCGCGTAGTCGTCCTGTTCCGCGACTAATAAAGCACTCGCGACTTGCTGTAAAAATTCTCAAGGAAGTCAGCGGTCTCCCGAGCTTTGCGTAGTAAGATTATTTCATTATCTCGTAAGGAGACCGTAATTAGTATCCACGATGATAACGTACAGTGTGTTTTGTTGTACTAAAAAAAAAGAAAGAAGAGGGATCTCTAATGAGGGCGTGAAACAGTGGAAGCCATTGTTTCCGCAAAAGGGTACGCCATCGCGAATTTATTAGCGTTATTGGAAATCGAATGTAATTGCCGATTACGTTCGCTCGCGACGACGATAACAATAATATCGATTTTTCCTTTATTATTCGCACTTCGTTAACGCAATCGCGCGTTAGCAATTATCGGTTACCCCACGTAATCACGAGAGAAAGAGACAATACTGCGCGCAGTTCGGCGCACGCGAGTTCGGTGGATTAACGGGAATTTAAATTATACGACGCAAGGCGTATTTGATTAATATAGCTTTGGTTGGCATACTGGAAAAAACAATGCACACACGCCTCTTGCCGTTCTGCTTGACGGCCTGCTCAGTGGCCTGCCCTTTCAATCGGGATTAACGTCGGTTTAACGCTTAATTACCGAAGTATTCCTCAGCAAAAAGCCAATCTTCGTTGTTTTATCAAAGTTACAAATGCGACAGTTAAGAACACGTGTTTTGAAATCTCGTCTGATTTATTTTATTATTACATCTTTATAATTTTGCGACATATAAATTTTGTCTTATATTATTTTTATTTCTTACATGGTAAATTTTCACAAAATATGAATCAGTGGAGATAAAAATGCGAATAAAAAAAAAAGAGAAACGTTAAACGTTAAAATAATGTTATTTCAGAAAATTTCTGTACTTTTTGCAATTCTTAGATCCGCGATATCTGCAGAATACAAGATTTCATTCCGATATTGATATCTGGTTACGAAATATCTAGTCAGACACTTTCACCAGAAGCCCAATAATGGCTAAGAAGTATCGTACACGAGTAAGTACGAGTTCTCACGAAGAACCACGAAGATGATACTCGTGGGCCCCGTAGGACAGATATCCGCTTGTCTGGGTCTTGTTGAGGCCCAGCAGATCTCTAGGTTCTTAGGTACGAGTAAATTTACATTTGTCTCTTCCCTCGTCGACAAATTGCCGCGACAACACGTCGACATTATTGGCTCTCATCGTAAAAATTGCTGACTCAGAGAAAACAAACACATTTAAATTTTACCTCAATTACATTGATCGAAAATTTCACACGCCTCTTCCGTGACCCCATGTCAGCTTGTAATCATTTATTTTCTAACTTGCCAATGGATATCTATTAATTCATAATATTCGATAAATATCGTTAGACTGTTAATGTCATTTTTTTTTTATCTGCGGCATTGGTCGCATGAAGCTTGAGCGTATGAATAAAGTAGGCAGAACACATTTACATACGCCGCTTTGGGCAGTGACTCACGTTGTATCCATGTAAGGTCCAGAGCGAGAGGTGCCGTTGGCCCCATACGCCTACATTAAAAACGCTGCTCGCCCGAGCTTCGGCAAAAGACAAAAAGAAGAAAAAAAAGAAATAAAAGATAACTCGTTCCGTAAAAGGTTCTTCTGCACGATATCGACTCACGATTCGTCGAGGTATCGAAACCGCGTTTGTGAGGCCCAAATCCTGGCGCAAGATCTCGCGTATCGCTATATCGGCGCAATCGATTGCAGGGTGATGGAACACGCCTCTATCTGAATACCTCGATGAATCTTCTTCAGCCTATAAATCAATTAGCGCATGGAACTTGTTATACCTTCCCGCGGTTATTCCGGCCCGCAAGCTCATTCCGGTTACCAGATAAGCGCGCCACGTACACATGCAAACGCGAACGCATACGTGCGATCGTACCATTGCGATCGGTTTGCTGCGGCTGCCACTTTCTCATCCGTGTGTCTTTTGTTTCTCGGTGACAGTGGCGTACGGGGGGCCCCGTCATGCCCGCTACGAATGATGATCGTTTCCACCAAAGTAGCTTAATTTTGATCTCTAGTTTAATTTAATTTAGTCTCTTCATCTTTTTCTAGTTCTAAAAATTAGAAAAAATGTAGATTAAGTTCAACTGAGATTAAAGTTAATCTACATTGGTAGAAACAGGTCGAGTTTAAATCCGGCTAACATTCATTTCTACCAATGTACATAGATTAACTTTAATCTCGGTTTAATTTATTCTTCTTATCTTTTTCTAACTGTTAGAACTAGTCTGTATGGCTGTTCTTTTCAATAAAATTGAAAAGAGGAAAATTTAAATACAAAAATATCACAATCTTTACACATTATATTCACTGGTATTTATTCAAGGTCTCGGTTTTGCTTACATAAGATGGATTTACTGTGAATCAAATGAAAGAATTAGTCTCTCATAATTTGCGTCGGTTAATTTTGACATTTGATTAAGACTCGAAGTGTAATAATAAGACATAAACTCGTCTTTTATCGCAATGCTTGATCCACTTCTACGCCACTGGTCGATGCTGCAGTCTGGGTCTGCTGGCGGTTCAAACTCTCCCGCCACTCTCTTATTCCATCAGTGTCTCTCGCGTGTTCGCACGGGGAACATCGCTCGCGCGTCTTTATCAAGACTCATTCCGGCGAGTCCTCGGATTTTTTATTATCATCGAAAATATTCGTGGTGTAAGATTCCGCTTTCGCGGATAGTGAGAGGAGAATCGGTTCCTTACGCCCGGGCCTAACCACGTCCATCTAAATGAGAGCCCCTCGCGGATAGTACAAAAATATTCGGGTCCTCTTCTTTCCCATCCTTTCCTCTTCCGCATCCGTTCCTCCTTTCTTTATTCCTTTGTTTACCTGTCCCTCACGCAAATCGCGATTATATGATCCGCGATCGTTTCGTAATTATCCGGAGAATGGACATGGCCGACCGTTTCTGGAGACTGGCCCTGTGCTGGATATGCATCGTCGGGCTCGCAGCCGCCAATGGTGAGCGATTTAAACCCAACACATTTAAAGCCAATCATGTGATCGTGATTCCCGTGATCACCGTGATTTTAATTCAAAATAGTAAGCATGCAAGAGAAAATATAAGGAAATATATATGTCGAAGAAATTTTAAATCGAGTACAGGTGCATCGTGCTGTCTACGCTTGATTATAGCGTTTTACGGCAATCAGTGACGAAGAGAAAACGTGATAATCGCGAATGAAAGTGACGTTCCTTTGTTCTCAAGCCGACGATTGGCGGTTGACGCGACATAACAAATAAATAGCGCGACGCGTCGCAGAATGCATCGTAAAGTTTCGAAGCACCTGACGCACGCGCCTAAGTAGGATGTCCTAGATCGCAATGACTACCAGGTATCACGAGAGAGGATCATAGCCTACCCAAAGCGCCAGTCAAGGTTGCGACGTTCCCTCATGCGTCGCGCGACGCGCTCGTTATGACTGACTTTAGGCTCGTTACTGTTGACGTTTGCAGACGTTTTCTTTCCTACTCGCTTCATGGTTCGGCTATTTATAAAAATAGCAGTGTCCAACAATGATAGGACAAACCGACAACGAACACGCACGCACGACGCAGGACACCGATCGTTTTATGACTCGCAAAGGCGCGTTCAGATTCCCACCCGAGTGCCAGTCGGGTATCATTTTATCCGTGTTTAATGATCGGCGAAGAGCAAGGATGAAATGATACATGGATGGTAATTGGGTGGAAATCTGAACTGTCTGAATATAGCCCAATGAGATTATTCTCTCGAGATACGACGCAGTCGACATCAATTAAAAGTAACATAACGTCAATGTTATAATTTTGCACTCAGCAATATCACTGTTATGTAACACTGTCTGGTTTATCATTATTTGGTTTGTCATTAATTTGTGGTTTAGACTAACCTCATTTAACTTGATAAATGTAAAAATTGCGATTTTCCAGCTAGGATTAAACTAGTTTTGTGGTGGTAAAAATTATTAATTATAAAACCATCAGTCTAGTGATTAATACAATTTTTATACCATCGTCAGGTTAAGCCTTACTACAAGTTAACCAGTAAATGAAAAATTGGGCCTAAGATATAATATATTACACTTATAGCCCTGTTCTTTTCCTGAATTTCTTGCAAGGTCCATCCTTTGTTTTTTTCTTTTCAATGAAAAAAGAAAATGAAAAAAGATGAACCGTGCAAGAAGTTCCAGGATATGGAAACATAACAGACCTTATATTATTAAGTGCGAAATTTTAGCCGGTATTTATATTTAAGGCCGTCTTAAGTTCTATCTTGAGGTGTCACGAATCAATCAGAGGTCCGCATTAGCGTCTTAAGTTATTACTTAAGACAAGCTTGAAATAAGAACCGACTATGAATACCGGTCTATGACACTCACACAGCACACTTTATTCGAAGGATGTCCTGCGAATATTCTTAGAACGTAGACGTCCTCGACACTTCTGTAGAATGTTTCTTGGTGGTCTACTCTGTATGGGCATTGATTTATGTTATTTTCAGTTTATGTCGACTTCCCTCGAGCTTTTTAGCTTCCTTCGAGATACAAGTTTCACGTATTTTGAGCTTTGAAAATTGTCCGGCACACCCACCGGTAAGTTCACCTACGTTTTCGGATCACGTTTAACGGTCGCGAATTCTTTTTGCGTATGTCACACAATATTACGAGGCATACGGAGTGTATTCTTTTCCGAGATATTTCTCTCGGAAGTGAAATTGCGAGCTGTACAAACAATGCGCGCACATCATCCTTGACGCAACGTGCAATTAAAAAATAACTGCAATCAAGGAACGTATTCGTGCGACACTTGCAATTAGGACAAGGCGGAGGATAAAAGGCTAATTATCCGTTAAGGGTCGCGCGACTTAGACAAACAAGAAGGGACAGGGCGACGGCGTGTCGAAGTTAACTGACTTACCTGAATTACTCAAATTGAAGTTCATTGTATCTTTTTATTGTGCGCGCAATGAGTCAGTGGACTGATTTGCGATCGTGGAATCTTGAGAATCGAGGTTGCTCCAATTGTTCTTCTCGAGCCTTCCTTTATGTTAACGCGCAGTTAATTAACCCTAATAGCAGCTAGGCATGTCGAATGAATTGTATGATTTCGCAAATATGAGATTAGTGCGATTGCGCGCGGGATTGTGTGAGAGAAGTAACACGTGTGTGTGAAAAATAATTACTCCGCGCTCTGAATCTCTCGCGCGCGGAAATTCGTGTATTGCACGTACTTCGTTGTGTGTGAGCAATCAGACGTTGATGAATCACGCTATGACTCCATCGTCATCTCCTATACGTTACCGTGGCTATATTTGTACAGAAAAATTGCACGAATCATTACGTAAATTAGAACGATCGCTGAAAGATTGTCTGATTTAAAAATAATGCGAAACTCTGCAACACTTGAAAGTTAGGCTGTTTATCAAATAAAATATAGAAACGTCAACTGTATCAATAAAATTAATTAACTTTGCGTAGATCTGTTTGTGAAGATCTTTTAATAAAGACGTCTTTTCACGACGTTAAGGAATACATTTATCATTTTCCATTATTCGCTATGTAGCTTCGAGTTTTCTTCGTCAGTGGATAGATCATAATCGACTTCCTTCCTGGTATCATTACTCCATCAGAGAGTTACGTCGAATTCTCATCGCCAGTAGGCAAAATTGATTATCCAGGCTCATGTAATGGGCATAATTGAGCCGACTTACGGCCACAGGAAAGGCGAACACGGGAGAGAAGAAATAGGATTCTGCGATAATCGTGAAAGAAAGGGAAGGTGAGCGGAGAATGTAATTTTCTATGTTTTGTGATTGCGCATGTATTTCATCCGTCCTTCGTTCCTTGCTAGAATCCGCGCGGAACGATCTTAACTGACTATCGTCCCGGAATTAGAGGGAGATCTGCGAATAATGTGAGCTATAGCTCCCGCACTAACATGTCCGTAACGGGAAAAACACGAAGGCATGAACGATGGAAGATTAAATGTTTACCAATGTGTGTTGGTGAACCTTCCTTTCGAAGTAGATTTACATAGAAAAAGCTTAAACGAACGCGAAGACAATTCTTTACGACCGAAGATGATTTATGAAAATGAAATAATGCCAATTACTGTATTCCATTTTAATGATACTGCCGTTACCAACAGAAGACTCGTCTATATTTATGCTTTACTAAAAAATTGCAAGAGAGATATTTGTACAATTTTTATCGAATTTCGATCTGAAGAAATTTTATGTGCATAGATTTTCGTAATGATAGGGTTTGACGCAAAATGGTAGACAATTAAATTATTCTTTTTTTTTTTAAATTACTCTCCGCTGATAACTGAGATCTTTGAAGAAACTATCAATATTTTGACTGTGAATTTTGGATAAATTTAAATTTGTAAAAAATAAATAAAATGTAATCCCATTCCTATAATAGTTAAACTTGTTAAAGCTCTACAAGTACATCAAAATTTTTTCAGATTTTTATATCCGGAATAATAATAAAATTCTTTACACTCTATAATAATAATAAAATTCTTTTCAGAGTAGGGTGCTCAAACATATCAATCCGTTCTTGCGGCGAACGCGTGCGAGTGGGAGAATCATGAGGAAAGAGAAGGTGAAATTCGATCTAAGTAGCTCACCGTTGTTGCGCGCCTTGCGCTTTATTCTCTTATTTTACCGCCATTACGGATATTAACATCATACTTAATTGCTAGAGCGCAAATGTGAATTACAGGTATTCCGTTCCGTCTGCTGACGAAACCTTTTTATTGTTTTCCGCGTGTGGCTGCATCGCGTAATATCGGTGAATGGACGATAGATTAAAAACAAAAATCGACAATTGGCAAAGAAAATGGAATCAGGCAGAAAATTGACGCGCTCTATTAAAATGAAATGTCAGGCCGCACTCGCGCGTGTTCAAGGATAATGAGATTTCTCGCGGTTTTAAAACTATTCGCTTCCTATCGTTTTTGTATGGTCGTTCTTTACGGAATTTTTCCCATGCACGGCTCATGAAGGTCGATTTATTCATTATCTAGCTTGGAAACCGCATAGAGTTTTATGAGAAAGCGAAAACGTTCGCCGAGCGGAAAAGGGATAGGGCAAAACAGTTCCACCGACTAGTTCGTGCTCTCCATAATCGCGTTCAAACACGTGGCCGGGAATGAGAAATAATGCGACTGGTGAGGATCAACCAGTTGCGTACCCAGGAAGTTGTAAGCCCACCGTTGAAATATCGAGACCTGTTTGGAGCAGCTTCGAACGTTAAACGAAACGATCAACTCGAAGAAACGGAAAGGTTGCACTTTACATATTACTGTTATAAGTTTTACTTTACAAATGATAGGAATATTTGTAACTTGAGAAAGAATAAAGTTTCTTTCTTAGAACAAAAAAAGATCAATTAATTCGATACATTGCTCCTTTGTTTATTTAAATTGTTTTTCGTTTGGATTGCGGAAAGAATAGTAGCACGTTTATCTTTGCGATTAATTAATATATATTGCTAGATAGTTATCTATTTTGTTAAAAAATACTCTGTAGTAGGAAAAAAGTAATTTTCGGTCAAATATAATCGTGTTAAATAACAATAATAATAATAATTTATATGCCAGTTTTTTTCCTGTAACTCTGGAAAATATTAAGAGAATATTTAAAAAATATTAAAATCAGGAATATACGTTATTCGATATAAAATGTCCACGTTGCAAAATATGTCATTAATTGTTTTCACCTCAAAAATATTAGTTTGAAGCGAGATGTAGGATGACATCGTAATGTTACAGCACTGTGAGGATGTGGAGTATGGGGAATGCAGAGGGCTCTGGGATGAGAAAGAGAAGTGGGAGTGAGAGTAGGAGTGAGGAATCGGTTGGGAGAGGCCATAGGAAAACCGGTTGCCAATCTGCACAGACACGTTGGACAGAGCGCTGGAGAGATCATCGAGAAAAGGCCAAAAAGACCGAGCTCCGGTTTCCAGTAATAC